CTGGCTGTTGCCGGCAACTCAACACCCAACGGAGCCGGCAGCTCTGGCCGCTTCCCAGGGCTGCCAGGCCCCCAGGAAGGACGGGATGACCCCTGCTGGCCAGAGCTATGGAGACTGTCTCTCTGGGACCTGATGCGACCCCTGAGTTTGCAGGGGACCCTGAAGAACAGCCTGTGTCTGAGGTACTACCTGGGCTGCTGGAATTATTTAGTTTTCTTAGCCAAGCTTGTCATTAGTGGTTCTCCTAAGGTTTATATCCCAGGCTAAAGCTTGGCAAGGGAGTCAATAAATTGAACCTCAAGGAGACCCAATCTTTAGCCAGTGGGAACTAGCCCGGTTCCAGTGTGTAGCTTTCCTACTCAAGTCAAAGCCTTCTTACTGAGAGGAATTGGGGACCAGTTTTCACATCCTGTTTCTGTGATCCCCGATGGAGAACTTCCTTCAAGGACTGGTCTGTGTAGATGAAACCTTGATTGGAGAACTGTTTGTGGGAACATAAAGTCCACTCGGGAGCATGGAAAGATGGTCCATAAAGTGCACCCTTAGCTCTGTTGTGGCCGCAACTGTTACATGCCAAGAGCCTAAAATGCACAGATAAGATATTTCCTTATAAAACATACACACGGAGGCACTTACATCGGCTGCATGGCAAAGTAGTATACTGGAAAAAGATGAAAGATTGCCCCCATATTTACAAGCAAAAATTTATTTACATATATAAACAAGACACATACATATATCCTACATAGGGGATATACTATTCTCAGTTCATTTAGTTACATTCCATAACATGAAGAAGTATTGCATGAAAGTCCATCCAGATAGTAATATAGCAGTAAAACCTCAGCAAAAATTGTATCATATTTTTACATAAATACAAACTGTATATCTGCCCAATATATGAAGAAAAAGCTGTACAATTTATTGGCACATTCTTTGGACTCATTTTATTTATTTTAAACATTTTTTAAAAAATATTAGAATCAGAGCTGTGGACCTAGGAATGCAGGAAGCCTCTCTGAGTAGCTGAGGGTAGAGACTAGAGCCAGGTTTAAGTGTGTCATCATCGAAGACCAGAAAGAAGTGCTGGCATTGGCAATAGCAATCTCCACAGGCTTTCTTTTTTTTTTTCTGTCTAGTATTTCTGTCTTTGAGACAGCCAAGTATGTCAACCAGCATTATTTTATAAATGGTCCCTTTTCTGTCCGAAGTGGAGTTTGTTGAGAACACACCCTGTTTAGGCAGGGTCCCCCACATGGAATTGTTAGAGATCTCTAATTAGGTCACACCGTGTGTCCCCAGATGCACATGCCTAATGCAAACCTGTCACAGCCGTCCTCTGTGCAGCCAGGTAGGAAAGGGATGGACAGTGCTCTCAAGAGGTGTGTAAAGGGGCTATGGGCTCCTTTAGGTTAAGGTTTGTCCGTTTAAAAAATATTTTCTAATCTCAAGCCTAGGCAGCACCATGAAGCAAGGCCTGAGCCTAGGCCCATTCTGCTCTCTGGCAGGGCAGAGGCTTCAGGCCTTTTCTGTTGGGCTCTGATTTTGATCCTAACACTTAGCCAGTCAGAAGCCAATCTCTGGATCTACACAAGCAGCAGAAAAAAAAGAAAAAAAAACCTATCCAATAACACAAACTTTTGAAGAATCATTTTCCGACACTGAATGGTGTTATGGCTTGTGAAAAAAAAATTCTTATTTGAGTCTTTCAAACCCTGGACTGAAATACATACACCTAGAGAAGGATTCTGTAAGAGACAGCACACTCACACTCAGCAGAGATATTATGAGTCCACAGGTTCCGTGTAGAAGCAGCCATATTTTACAGTCCAAAGGAATCAATTAATTAGTGCCTCCCAGCGTCGTTGTCGTCCCCACCCCTCACCTCCCACCCTGCCAGCAGCTGCTGGCTGTGCTTGTGCAGTGGAGACAGGTGAGCCTGGCCAGCCCGCTGGTCCTGTTAACAAGCCTCCTCATAAAGATGAGAATGATAAGGAGAGCAAAAAAGCTGAGGAGGCCTTGAGGAGGGCTTCAAGTTCCTAGTCCTGAAGCAACTGCCTTGGCCCCCACTCCGGTTTGTTCCGAGTTCTTCCCTCTGGATCCGTTGCATTGTGAGCGAGGGCCAGGAGACGCTTCTTGTCCTCTGGCCTGAATTTTGACTTTTCTTCATTGAGCTCCAATTAAAAATTTAAAAGACACCACACACACACACACACACACACACACAGACACACACACACACACAGACACACACACAGAGAGAGAGAGAGAGAGAGAGAGAGAGAGAGAGAGAGAGAGAGAGAACATGCATGAACCTTTCTCCAAACCCATCTATTTTTCCTCTGTCCGTGCTGGGGACTTCCATGGGCTCCTTTTCTCACTTTTCTGGGTGGTACCCTTTGGTTTATGCCTGGTGCTCTCTTCCCTTCTTCAGCTCAGCTCTTGCTCTCTCTGCCCTTTGCAGTTGCATTCTACTGGGTTGGTGTGGACTCTGGCTCCAAAGCGCTTGTAAAAAACATAAATACACAAGTATGCCCCGGTTATCTCGCATGAGAACAGAGAATGAGCACCTCCACGAAACCAGACCCGTGAAAGAAAACAAAACAAAACAAAACACCTTGGGCATAATTGCTGGTTTGGGTTGTAGCACTTAATTCCATCTATTCTCACTGGTGTACATACTTAACAGAGAGATATCGATATTAAAGGACAAGGGGGAATTAATTTTACTTTTATAGTTATCTATTAAGAGCAGAAGATGATCTGAGTCTCCTTTAAAGGGACCAAAAAAGGGGGGAGCGAAAGGGAGGAGGAAGGGAGAAATATGACTGAAAGGGAACAAAGATCTTTGCCTGAAGAAACAATGTAACACTAGACAGAACTATAAAGTCTGGGAATGTAAGAACCGGGGACTCTCTCAGCTCCCCCTCCTTGTGTGGAATCCAGTCCTCTCTACTTTCCCCTGAAACCACTGCCCTAACTACACAGTGGTGTTCAAGGAAGAATTCATGCAATTATCCAGATAATTGTTGGGAGAGAGAAGAGAATTTCCTTTTTATTGTCTGACCCTCTCTGGAGTCTGTGTAAAAGAGAGAGAGGAGGGGGCAGGTGGTGTGGGGGATGTAGAAAAGGGGAAGGAGAAGGCAGAATCTCTAATATACCCTAAGTCCTGCAAAATAGTTACTCCTAAATCAAGGAGGTCCCAGGCAAGGGCTTACAGATAGAAGCACGGTGGAGAAATGATAAGATCTGGTTGAAGTTCCCGGATCCAGTTTCATTTTCATTTTGGATGTTAACTTGGATTCACTTTGTCTGCATAGATCTGCCTCCTAATACTGTAATTATCACAAGTAAGTGGATAATAGATAATTATAGGGTGTTGATAATATTATTTTATAACCATACAAGATATGATTAGAGTTAATGTTGGAACCTTTGTTGGAAGCTGGAGGCAAGGTAAAGAGGCTGGAGGAATCTTTCTCTTTCTTATTTTTACATGTAAAGGAATCTCCAGAAATCCCTAAGACTCTAAATTTCTCTCTGGACTTTTAAAGGGAAATCTCTAGGATTTTAGAGGATATAAAGTCCAAAAACAAGATGAGGAAACAATAATTTGATACTCAGCCCCTCTTACATAATCTAGGGGACAATGGGTATTGCTCTCACCTCAGTGGAAAGCAAGGCCACTAGGGTTTGGAGACTTGGTGGGTGAGGTGCCTTACACAAGACAGGAAAGCAGCTTATCAAAATCAAGTTCATTGTCAACCCCAAATGAGAACTAGGCCCAGAGTGGAACCTTCTTTTATCCCCAATTTGTCTTTCCTGGAGTCCACTCCTCAACAACACCTGAGCAGAGGTAAATGCCCAGCTGGAGCTAGGAAGGCCAGTGAAAGGTAGGAATCAGGAAAAGAGAGTAAGTTTTTCATTGTTTCAAAAGTTGAGCAATCTAGAGAAAGGACGGGGACGAATGAGATGACCACAGAAACAGAAGCAGAAAGGGAGGCCTTAGTGTTGAGAGCAGTTATGAGCAAGGTATAAACAAAAAGGAGCAGCAAAAAGAACCAGGAAATAAAACATGAAAGGGTAGAAAGTGTGAAGAAAAATGCTAGAAGAGAGAGAGGCACAAAAATGATAAGAGGCAAGGGTCAGTATCTGTTCTGACTCCGCAGCAGTCTGGGTGGGCGGGAGTACCAAGACAAAGTGAAGGTCAAGTTAGCATCGTACCTTATAAGGAAGGCTTCGGTCCTCTGTTTCAGCTTCTCTCTCTAGGACTTAGCACTGGCATTTCTGGTCTTGTAAACACAAGACTTAAAAAAAATAAAGCTCCCCTCCTCCCTTTATTGGGGGTAAATTTTACAGACTATGGACAGGCAAGTCAACTATGAATACTCCAGGAAACTTCTCTCTTGTTTTCTGCCTCTGGCTCCGCTCTCTGCCAGCTGGGTCTGCCCCAACCTCTGCCTGTCTTCTGTATCTTCCACCATTATTTCTAATCCTGAGTATGACTTCTTTCCTCCCCATCACCCCTACAGACTTGTAAAAACCCTTTCATTCTACAGCAGCCAAGTGGAGAAGGACTCTAAGAATTCTTAGAAAATTAAGCATCATAAAGAAAACTTCATTTACAGCTTAAATGTCTGTCTGGATATTATGGTTTTCTTCTGAAAACAAAGTAAAATATTTGGTAAGGAAGAATGAGGCCACAGGGATGGGAAGGGCTGGTATAGTGGTAGGCTTGCATTTACTAATTTCTCAGGTCATGAGGAAGAAAGAAAGGGAGAGGAGTGAAGTGAGAAAGAGGCATTTAAATTACCAAAGAAGGGTGCAGCTGGGGAGTCTGGAAGCAAAGACCTGGTACTCACCCCATACCCACCTTCCAGGTGGAGAAGCTAGCTTATTTGGTCCTTCCTGGTTTCAGAGAGCTAGGAATCAGGAACGGAGGAAGGCCAGGCTCGGGAGAGTGAGGCAGAGCCTGAGACCAGCTTTGAGATACTGTGATCGGCAGGCTACAGCGGTGATGGGTACAGCTGGAAGGAAGGAGAAAGGGCATAGTGAGGATGAGGAGTGGGGTGAAGTTAGAGGGGTATTGGTGTAGGGGTATCTAGGAAGAATTTACCTCTTTCCCCTGAATCTCCTCTTGTTTCTGTCTCCTCTGTGCTCATGCAGTCATCTTAAGGCCTAATTATTTCTTTCGAAATTGGATTTCTATAGTAAGGGGAGGGAAGGCGCTTGGATGTTTGAAGAGCGTTGGTGGCTAACCCAACACTGTACCCCTCCTCCCTTGTTTGTTGTCACCTCTACTTTACCAACGGGGAAACAGACCTGGAAAGCTCCACTCCACCTACCTGGTCAGGAATGTCTCCAGATACCTGAAGTGGGGCTGAGGTCTGGGTGGAAGCATCCAGGAACTGCAGACAGGGTCAGCTGATAGAACAACCAGGCCCGCTATCTTGATGCCTTCCTACCCAGTGTAGTATATGAAAAACAAAAGGGCTCAATCTCGTTGTTTCTGGTAAAGGTAGGGATCCTGGTTTTTCCACGAGATGTCTGTTTCTGGGATCTGAAGAGGTAAGTGTTTTACCCATAGGCAAGCTGCCACTGTGTCTCAAAGTGCCTGGATTCTTTGGATAGGAGCTGAGGTTAGCCAAGTTGGGGACCTCTGCAGTCAGGAATCCTCACAGAGGGGGTGGCAGACCTTCTTTGGCAGGGTCTAGAATTCTACTCAAAGTATTCCAAATGTTTGAAATGGACTGAGAAGGTCCTTTCTTCAGCTTGTGAAGGGGAGCCTCAGGAAGTCAAGCATTAGTTGAGAGCTTCCCCCTTGATGTGAAAAAGACAGCCATACCCAGACCTCAGCCCACAGCGTTTTCCATGCCTGTAACAGAAAACTGGCATGCTCTTCGGAGATTTGGGAGACTGGAAAAGTGAGGCAGAGCCAAACACCCTGAGAAGGTTGTGACTGTGGTGGGAAGGAGAACCTGAGGGGGCTGAGAAGGGATCACCCCAAACCATTTCCCCAGAGAAGCCAAACATACACAATAGACTCTGATACTGAAAAACACCAGACTATCTGCTTTTAAGGGGACATAAACCAGCAAGCGGATGCAGGTTAATAAAACCCGAAAAAGCCCAGACAGGAACACTTAAAATGCCCAGAACAAAGCACACCATGACCAATTCTCACCCAACACACAAGTACACGCACCATAATATTCCCAGGCCAAGAGAAAAAGAGACCTTTCTCCCGTCAATATTTAGATATACCTGCACAGCTCCAAGAACAAATTTGTTCATGCTTCTAAACTGACCCAAACAAACCCATAGTGATCGCCCGCCGGCAGGCACCGGCTGCACTGCACACACCACGGAGACAGTCGGTATCCCCAGAGCCTCACTAATGCAAGATCCAGATCCATACCCGGAGATAAAAGTCTAGACAATAGACGGCTGTTTATGACAACGAGGCTCTCCAAGTTTGGGGCCAGGCGATAAATCTCTGGCGAATCTTCCTGTAACTCAACTTCTGGCTGTGGTGAAGAGAGAACCACGGAGAAGGAGCGAGCACGGAGGAGAGCAGCAAGAGTGGGGAGAGATAGCATGAACAGAAGGCGGCTTCCTTGTGCAGTTCTAGGCCGTAACCCTGCCCATGGGAGGCGGTTCCACTGTGGGAGCTTCGGATGGAGTTTCTTAGCACAGGCGAGCCAGGGCTCCTTTCTGTCTGCCCTGGCATTAGGACTCAGAATTCGGGCCAATGTGCTGGCAGAAGGCATGGCCTGGAGGCTGGGACAGACCCACAAACCATTGTTGCTGGGGGCAAGGGGTCTTTTTCTTGGGTGATTGGGATCTTCTGTGTCAACTTATTTTTTATTCCCCCCCCCCCCTTTTCCCTCGCTCTCTCCCTCTCCCTTCCTCCCTCCTTTTCCATTTTGGACCCAGGCGTCTGATTACAAGTAAGGAGCCACTGAAGTTGATCTCATAAAAATGCCGCGAGCTCACTTTGATCAGCGGGGACTGGGTCCGAGCCTAAGTCGGCTCTAAAGCCAGGGAATGGCCCCTCGAGCCAACCCAACTACCGCGGCTTGTGCTGCAACAGCAGCGAGGCAGGAGATCCCGATGGCCTAAGAGGGCAATCTCTCACAGAGAATACCATCTCCAGAAGGCTTTTAAGAGAGGTTCTTCATTTTAGAGCGGGGGAAGGTGGAGTGGGGGTGGGAGCGGTGAAGCTGGCTCACAAAATGGGGCTTTTTATGGGAGAAATGGGGTCGGATTGTTAGCCTCAGGGGGACAACTTCTCCCTGGCGGAAGCTGGATGGGGCGGCGGGAGCCTCTGACTTTGCTCCCCTACCTTGTCCATGGACCCGGGGCTCCTCCAGCAAAGGATTACCCGCTTTGGGGGCCTAACCTGAAACCTTGGGCTTGCAGTGCTGACCTGGGCTGAGGGGAAAGCAGTCCTAGGAGGTCTAGACCTCTGAGAACTGGTGAGGTGTGGGTGTTCCGGGTTCAAAATAACCTCGCTTGAAAAATCCCAAAGAACGCGAAAGGTTTATACTCCTCCTCGTTGCTGCTAAGTGAACGAAAAATGAGGCAGGAGATGCAGACTGTTCTAAGAGCTCTTCTTCGCCAGTCCAGCCTGGGAAGCAGTGAGGGTGCCCGTTTGTAGGACTTCCTTCTTTTTATTGACTCCAGGAGAGACTGAATTTAAGGCCTCTTTTTTCCTCCCAGGGTTTTCTTCCTGGCTCATGGTCTGTGGGGTGGTTTCTTTTTCTTATCAAGATTTGTACTCTCACGGGGAAGGGCGAGGAGGAAAGGCTCCCTTGAGTTGTTTGCAGGAGGCTACTCTAGGAACCTCCCAGGACAGAATTCTGTGGACAGTGCCCCCTTCTGAATTTGACCCTGTTGTTCCCTATGTGGGAGGGAAGGCTTCTGGAGTCTATCCCAGGTCTACCCAGACCACCGAGGCAGCAGCAGCCCAGACCGCACAAGCCTGTTAGTGGCAAAGCTAGCAGCGACTGAGCCCACCAAAAATCCCCAAGGAGGTAGGGTGGTCATCACACAGAGGAGTTAGGTGAAAGCTGGGGTTCTAAGTGGATGAAGGGATGGCTGGAACCAACCAGATGAGGAATTAAAGCAAAAATAAACAACAGCTGCCTTTATAGTATTAGTGCCTGCAAGTGATGAATTTAGGGACCATAGACATGAGGTTCCTTCAACCAAATGTAAAGGATGCTGCTATCAGACACCCCAGATTGAGGGCACAAACCCAGTGGGAGCTCCCAGGGGGTCTGGACCCAAAGCCAGCCAGGTAGGCCACTACCCCCACTCCAAGCATTCTTGCTAATCAACAGCTAACTGACCACAGGAATAGGGGCCTTCTCTCCGTGACCCAGCAGTAATGATCAGTTGCGGAAGGATTTTAAAGTTGTTTTAAACAATTTGAAATACCAACACCAGAAAAACGAAAAAAAAGCTTCATACTTTGCTTTTATGGAGCAGAATATTCCTTTCCACAGTCTGTGGGAGCACGCTCAAGTCTCCTTGCCATTGTCTCCTTGACACCCTTCTTGCCTTCTTTCTTTTGGTTTCAAGAAAATAAGACTGCTCTTTGCAGCAGCCTGTCTCACTTTTATGGTGGCCTAGGAATAAACTTTGGTGGTCAAATTCAAGTGCTCAGGCCCACAGCTGTCTTCTCACAGGAAGCAGGAACAACCCCCCACCTCTCTCCCAGGCTGTGCAAAATGGGACTTAGGGGCTTGGGCCCCATACTGCCCAGGAGATTAAGAGGAAGAAGGAAGCAGAACCTAGTAGAAACATGGAGAAAGCTGGAGCCGAGACTGCCCTCATGTCTGCAAAAGATGGGGTACCTCTCACCTCCCTTTTTCTGACTTCTATCACTGTTTGGGGAGCATTTTGCCTCCAGTAAACTCAAGTTTATGAGGTCAGCTGCAAACCCCATAAAAGCCACAGTCCGTAGTTCCCTGCCATTATAATTAAAAATGTTGCCTCCAGCTCCTCCTATAAAAAAGGGGGAAATGCAACAGATTCTTCTGTTTCTGGTCCCCTCTCTACAGAGATACTCCAATCTAGTTATGTTCCTTCAGTTAAGATTGGCCAAGACTAAAATGTACACGAAACAATGCCTAGCACTAAGTATTTAGACACTGGAGGTCTCTTCCGCAGTATTTCAGGACACCCTACCCTCCCAACACACATACACACACAGACACACACACCAGAATGGAGACCCATTGTGGCAGAGGCAGATTCCATCAAGTGTTGTTCTAAAGGCGGAGTAAATTTGGACAGGTAGAAGAGTCAAGGAGGAATGGGTTTGGGGGGCTGTATTTGGAAATATATTTGTATCTTCCCTGTCGGGTTAAGGATTTCAGTGCCTCACCCTTCAACAATGAAGATCAAATCAAACACACTTTAAAAAGGAAAACCATTTTGAAGCTGGTCTTAAGGATGCTAAGATGATTTGAACTCCCTCTGGTTTTTCCTTAAGAGTACAGGTCTGAGTTGTTGGGGACATCACTCTTCTTCTTTAACACACTCTGTCCTGATAGCTCCTGCTTAGGACCAAGGTTGCTGTTACTTTCTGCTCCTGCCAATTGTTCTGGCCCCTTGGACTCAGTCCAGAAGCTTTCAATAAAGTTATTTTCAGCTGCCCAGATGTGTGCTGTAATGACCAAAGGGATGGGAGGCTAGGGAGGGCAGAATCACTGAGTACTTCCCCTGGATACAGCAGTCCAAGAAGGCTTACAGATTTGGGAGAAGGCAAGGTTAGACTGAGAAGGAGGCAGAAAAAAGAAGCAGTGAGAGATGGACTTCTGGCCCCACCTTGCCCACCTTGAGATCATAGTTTATTTCACTGTCCTGTGATTGATCCTGGAGATAAACATCTGGCGTCTCCACCCACCTAAGCTCCAAAGTCATTACAAAAAAACAGGACCCCCTAATTTGGTTCCCTTAGCAATGGACCCCACTGCCTGGCTTCTTTTCGGTCCTTTAGCTGAATCTGAGCTCCCAACTCAAAGGGCCTCAGATAGGGAAGACAGATGACTCTCATTCTAATCTTTTTCTTTGAGGTTTGGGATTTTAAAATCCACAGTGGTTGTAGCTTTCTGCACATTGATTGACAATAAAGGCAGGCATGAAATATTCACCCAGGGCCACTCTCTCATACTAAATATTTAACACAACATTAGAGAAGGTTTTCCCCAGACTTCGCCAGGCACCGACTGGGCGGCTGGCATGCTGCTCACCACTGGTTTATGACTAATAGGAGTCCCTAGCCAGCGGCAGCACAGCCAGCTAGGCAAAGTTGGGACATGGGCTCTTAGCTAGGCTGCCTCACCTTTGGCAAACTTCAGATACTCTTCTTGCAATCCTGTCCTATAAGGGAGCTTACCCGGCTTTGGCCAGGAAAATAATCTAAAAAACTTCTTCAAACTGTGTAAACAGGCGTTGATTCTTCAGGTAGAGGGGTAAGAGTTCCTGAGACTTGAAGAGGATTCAATATTCCTA